CACACAATACGCTTTGTGTGTGGGCGGACCGGTTGTCTGGTTTGCGTTAGAGTCCTTCGCCGGCCTCGCTGTGCACGTCGTCACATGCACATTGCGTGGTTGGACCGGAGGTCTCGCTTGGGAACGACTAGTTAGGGTGGCGTGCACTTTGAGTTAGGCTGGGCCCTAACATAAACAACGTCCACACCACCGATTTGTTCACTTCGTGCATATTTACAAACCCTGAAGGGCTGATCTAATTGGCCATTCCGATTTGATTAATTTTACGCGCAGGTCTCTTTTAAAATTGAGTGAAATAACTGTAAAAGGTCTCCCGACGGCTTCCAAATCAAGCTGATAGTTCTCGTGACGTATGCGTATTCGCCTCTGGGTTCGTCTGTCCTAATTCTGTTCTGTGTTTACAAACCCTGGTGGTAACTCCCCCTTAATAAAGATGGCCTTGTGTTACGCTCCAGTAAGGGCGCCTGTTCATGTGTCCTAACTCTATCTCCAATGTCAGTGGAATTTAAACCAAAACCACTTGTATTATGAGGGATTCTTTTTCCTGCTTCCTGTTTTTTGTTCTTTAACTCAAAGGGTTCTTTAGATTCATCAAGTAGACAACCTCTGTGAGAAACAACATTTTACGATCGGTTGGCCATAAATGTTCTGGAACAGTTGCAGACTTTATTGGACTGGTCACGTTTCGCGAAAAGCCTTGACCATTCAGGTGATCTCGGTCCATCTTAATTATCCATATGCGTAACATAATCTCCAGTTGGTTACCATGGTGAAATGTACTTAAATTGAACGTGACAGGAAAACATTTTGCAAAATTAACAGGTAACAGTCGGATATGTGGCACCATTCAAAAGGCGGGAGTAAAGGGCTCCTCTAATACGGAATTGTTGATAATTGGAGGTATTATGGGTTGGGAAAAAGAAACCGACATTTAGCTGTTTTGGAGAAGCAAAGGATAAAATAGGGCATTTATGCCATAAACTGGTTTAAATACATCGATAAAGCGTGACAACACTAGCGAGTCATTTGAAATTCTGTAAATTTGGGAACTAAAAACGGGCAGAAAAACTCAGGCCAATAGTTAGATATTCTAGGTGAACTGATCCCAGTGTGTG